GTCATCATCCCTGCACTCATGCTACTCAAGTATGAGAAGGATAATGGAACAGTCGGTTCCCTTAATGCGGACCAAAAGACGGCTCGAGAGTGTTACCTCTCGTACGTCAAGCCTGCGGCCGTAGCATCCGGTCGGGGCAAGTAAACGATCGACCTCAACGATGTCGAGGAAGAACAGTCGGCCCCACCAGCTGGAAAGAAAAGAAAGACTGATCCGCTGGTGGTGGTCAAAAAAGAAAAACAATAGCAATTACTGACCGGGGAACGGTCGGATGATCTCCGTCCCCAGCCTGTTGGTGAGCACATCGATATCCCTCTGGACGACAGTCGTCCAGAGCGGACGGTTAAGGTGGGGACGGTTGCACTTGCAAAGCTGGGTGAAAGCCTTCATCAACTGCTGAGAGAATTCAAAGACATCTTTTCCTTTGAAGTGGAGGAGATGCCTGGCATCAGCCCGGATCTTGCTGTCCACAGACACGCCGTGGATCCTAAAAAGAAGCCCATCCGGCAAAAGAAAAGAAACCATGGCGAGGAAAGAAGTCAGGCGGCAGCTGCCGAAGTAAAAAAGCTGCTGGATGCCAAGTTCATTCGGTCGTGCAATTGCCCTGAATGGGTAGCTAACGTTGTGTTAGTAAAAAAGACAAATGGAACTTGGCGGATGTGTGTTGACTACACAGACCTCAACAAGGCATGTCTAAAGGATAGTTATCCATTGCCCAAGATCGACAGTCAGGTCAACTCAAAAGCCGGACATGCCTTGATGAGCTTTATGGAAGCCTATTCAGGTTTCCATCATATCCCCCTGTGGAAAAAAGATCAAGAAAAGACGGCATTCGTCACTGATCAGGGGTTGTTCTGTTATACGGTGATGCCGTTTGGTTTGAAGAATGCGCCTGCTACTTTCCAACGAATGATTAATACGGTCTTCATTAATCAAATCGGAAGGAATGTAGAGGCGTACATTGATGACATGATAGTCAAATCCAAACAACAGGCGGATCATCTTGCTGATCTCCGAGAAACATTCGCCACACTCAGGCGGCACAAGGTCATGCTAAACCCAAAAAAGTACATTGATGACATGATAGTCAAATCCAAACAACAGGCGAATCATCTTGCTGATCTCCGAGAAACATTCGCCACACTCAGGCGGCACAAGGTCATGCTAAACCCAAAAAAGTGTGTCTTTGGTGTTGAGTTTGGGAAGTTTCTCAGATTTTTTATTGACCAAAGGGGAATAGAGGCCAACCCTGAGAAAATTCAGGCGGTAATCGACATGCAGTCGCCCCGTACTATGAAGGAAGTGCAAAAGCTAACATGTTGTCTGGCGGCCTTGGGGAGATTCCTCAGTCGGTCAGGCGACAAGTGTCTCTACTTCTTCCAAGCAATCGAAAAGAAGACCAACTTTGAATGGGGGGATGATGTAGAGGCGGCCTTTCAAAAGCTGAAAACTCATTTACACTCTTTGCCAAGGCTTGTCAGCCCTTTTCCCAAAGAGAAGCTCTTCATGTACTTAACCGTCTCTGATCACGCCCTCAGTGCCGTTCTCTTAGCTGAAAGAGACGGCATTCAGCTCTCGGTGTATTTCATTTGCCATGTTCTGAGAAACGCGGAGCTTCGGTACCCCATGGTTGAGAATTCGGCCTTGCCCTTTACATGGCCAACAAGAAGCTAAAACCCTACTTCTTGGCGCATGCGGTAGAAGTCTATACTGACCAACCGATCAAACGGCCACTCACAACCATGGAGTCTTCTGGACGAATGCTTAAATGGGCTATTAAAATGCAAGGATTAGAAATCACTTTCGAACCAAGGAAGGCAATAAAGGGGCAAGCATTCGCCGACTTTATTGTCGAAATGACAAGGCCGGCTGTACCAGACAATACAAACCAGGTTTGGAAAGTGTATGTGGATGGGAGCTCCACTATGAACGGCTGTGGTGCAGGGATTATCTGTCAATCTCCTGAGGGAGATAAGTACGAATACGAACTACGATTGAAGTTCCAGGTCTCTAACAATGCGGCCGAGTATGAGGCCCTGCTGGCCGGCATTCGGTATTGCAAGACGGCAGGGGCAAAGAAGATAGCCGCTTGCTCTAATTCTCAACTAGTCGTACTCCAGGTTAATGGAACGTACGAGGCAACTCATCCGGCCATGATAAAATATTTGCAGGCGGTCAAGAGTGAAGTTGGGACACTTGAAGAATTCCATCTAACTCAAGTGCCCAGGTCTTCAAATAATCAGGCGGATGCTCTGTCAAAACTAGCATCATCCGCCTCTTGTGTAACGCCTCGGTCGGTCTTCTGGGAGGTCATGGAAAGAAGAAGTATATCTAATGAAGACCCCATTGGAATTCTCGATCGAAGCTCTACCTGGATGGACAGCATCCCTGATTCACCCCAGGAGGCGGTTGTTCTAAAAAAAGAAAGCGGCAAGCTTCGAGCTGAGACAAGGGGAACTTTTCAAAGCAGGTTTCTTGAAACCCCTATTGAAGTGTGTTACCCCAGAAAAGGGTAGAGAGGTCCTCGAAGATTTGCATGCGGGTTTCTGCGCCTCCCACATAGGCGGCAGGTCTTTAGCTGCCAAGGCCAGGCGGCTCTATTTCTGGCCAACTCGGGAGTCGGACGCTATAGAAATGGTTAATAAATGTGAAAAGTGTCAAAAGTTTGGCAAGCTCATCCATCGTCCGGCCCAGACCTGACGGCCATCCACAGCCCAATTTCCTTTTCCAATTGGGGCATGGACATACTTGGGCCTTACACCGCGGCCCCAGGCGGCAAGTGCTACATATTGGTAGCTGTGGATTACTTTACCAAGTGGGTAGAGGCGGAGGCAGTCAAAAACATTAAGACAAAAGATGTCATTTCCTTCATCTGCAGGAATATTATCACTCGTTTTGGGGTGCCCATGTGTATGGTTTTTTACAATGGTCCTCAATTTGAGACGCCTTAACTCAAGACTTGGTTAGGAGAGCAAGGGGTCTCAAGCCTCTTTGTATCAGTCGGCCGCCCTCAAGCAAACGGCCAGGTTGAAGCCTTCAATAAGCTAATCTCAGACGGGATTAAAAAAAAAATTGAACGGGCTGGTGGCCTTTGGGCGGATGAACTACCACACGTCCTCTGGTCCATCAGAACGACTGCTAAAGGGGCGACAGGAGAAACCCCGTTACTCATGGTGTATGGTGCAGAAGATGTCCTGCCCATTGAACACTATGAGCTGACTCTTCGAGTCATGTTATATGACGAAAAAGCTAATTGGGAGGCCATGCGGCTAGCATTGGACTCACTTCCAGAGCAAAGGGGCAATGCCACCTTGAGCCATGAGATTTACCGTTTGAGAATGACACAGGCTTACAACAAAAGAGTACACAAGCGTCCTCTCAAAGTGGGGGACTTTGTGCTACGGAAAATTAAGGCAATTGGTAGGGCGAATGAGCAGGGAATGTTGAACCCAAATTGGGAAGGTCCCTACCGAATATATGAGGAAGTAAGAGACGACACTTACCGCTCGGAAGAACCAGACGGCAGGCAGCTGCCTAGAACTTGGAATGTGGACAACTTGAAAAAGTACCATTTCTAAGTACAAATGTAAATACCTCAACTTTTGTCACTTCAAACTTTGCTAATGTGAATATGCCTTCATTTTTCAACTTCTCTTTTAATTTTTAATATCGCCTGTACAAAGTACAGACGGCCAATGTATTTGGGTAAAGTCTATCCCAATAACAGACGCCCCAACCTTTATGAAGGAACCGACTACTCTAGAGCAGTCGTTCCTACGAAATTCTTACTGCATTATGTTAAACACTTAAAGAATATTTGCTTAAATCATTTTGAGGCCAATGGCCGGATATTAAGAAAAACTCATAGAGGCCGAATGGTCACAGTCTGCTCCAATATGAGTATGACCGTCTGCTCCAAAATGAGTCAGATAACCGACGACGCATATTCGAGTGAATTTGTCGAGGAGAAGCATCTCCCATTTGGGTGGCATATTGCTCCACAAATACATCAAGCGGCCCTACCGGATGTTAAGGCAGCATTCGCTGTCGTTTGGTTTAATCAAAAGTGAAATCCAAGAGGCCAAGAATTTTCTAACTGTTCTAGCACAGTCGGAAAAGGGGTCACTATTTCACAAGTAGAAACTATTGAGGCATTAGGCCGGATGCGCCTGTTTTTGCTCTAAGGCAAGACAGGTGGAAAACTTTTACTGATCTACAAGCCACCTAATGAGGCCTTTGGCAAGATACGCCTGTTTCTGTCCGACCGTAGAATAGGCGGACTATTACTTACGAGAAAATGAGCTAAAACACTTAGCAGATTAAAAAAGAGACTTGTGGGTCGAATGCGCCTGTTCTTTGCTCTTGGGGCAAGACAGGCGGATTATTCTAAAGAAAAATTAAGACTAAGTTAAAACTTAGCAACTTATCTCGTCAAGGCCTAAGGCCGAATGCGCCTGCTTTTAGTTCTTGGAACAAAACAGGCGAGGGATTCTTTTTAGCAAAATTTGCTAAGTCAAAAATATTGTATTCCGCTTGAGCCAATGGTTGAATGAAAATAATTATTCATTCGCTCCTGATGGCCGTCTGTCGCGTGGTTTGGGGAAATCACCACAGTGATTGATTGACTTAGAAACCATGTATACTCTTCTAAGTATCAATAATTTCTAAGCCAATCAATCCACTCAACCGAAACCACTCGACATCCGTTCAGGGGCAAGAACATTCGCATGCAAAACAGGTTATAATACTTAGCCAAAAAACATGCAATGAAAAAATTTAAAGAACAGCAATATGAATAACTTCAGCCAATGGCCGAATGATTTTAAATTAAAAAGGCCCAATCGCCATCAGACGATTGGGTAAGATTGTTAGCTGGCAAAGCCAGAGGAATTGTCAAATCACCCAACCCCTCGGTCAGTAAAGATACATGGATACTCGGCACGCAGGCCGGAAGATGAAATTAATGGCCATTCGGCCGCAGACATAACTAATAAAAAGCCTCAAGGGGCAGAGGGATTTCCAGCATTGGCAGCCGCATCATCAGTTGCCGGCTGCTCTTCATTGTCATCACCATCCTCTTCCCTGTCTTCATCCCCGGAGGAGCCTGAAGCGGTGTCGGCCTCTTCACCATTCGCATCCTCCTCGTCAGCCCGGCGAAGGAGTTCAACATTGTAATCCTCGTTTTCCTGATCAAACTTGGATTTCCAGATGCCAAAATCAGCACCCGGCTGTACCGCCTCCCATGTCGCCCGCATGATGGATTTGTAGTCTTCCATCATTTGTTGGACAAGGGCCTGTTTCTCCTCCTCAGCCCGGGACTCGAACTTGGCCTTCAGCTGCTGCTCCTGGTTCGCCAGGCGCCCCTCCAGGCGGCTCACCCGCTCCTTGGCCCTCTCGGCCTCATTCTTGACCTCTTGAAGAGGCTCAAGTTTTTCCTTAAGGCCTTTAACTTCGGCCTTGAGTTCATTGACTTTGGAGCGGGCCGAGTCCAGGTCCTTCTTCACCTTCAGGTTGGCGTCCGCATGGGAATACATCATATCAAGGGTCAGAAGCTCATTCTGAGCAATTTCAAATTGAGCTCGGTCTAAGGCGGACTCGGCTTGAGTTTTAGCGGCTGTTACCTCTTTTCATTTTTCTTGGATTGGCCGTTTGAGCTCTTGAACGCGCAGCATGGCCTAGAAATAAGAAAAGACCGAATGGTCAAAACCAGTCGGATATGTGTTAAATATTATGGAAAATTTAGCTAACTCTTTTACCTCGCAGAGGTTCCCCAAGATAGCATCCAAGTTAAGGGTGCCGACTCCTCTTACGGACGCCCTGTCCTCAGGATCAAGCGACCGTAGCATCTCCTTGGCCATCTGGACAACGGTCGGCCTTTGTGGGGGGGCTGCAAAATTATAAGTTAGTCAAGTTTAAGGAAGCAACATTAAGCATTGAAGTTTAATAAAATTGCGGCCCATACCGTCCGGCTGGGCCTCCTTCTCCTTCTCCTTCCCCTGAAGTCTCTTCTCTCCTGCTGAGCCGGCAGCAGTGTTGGTTTGCTTAAAGCCACCCTTTGATGCCTGAATAGCATCCGGTTTGCTGACCTCCCTGCCAGCTTCGAGAGTAGAGCCGTCCCCTCTCTTGGACTTTTGAGCAATGTGTTTCCGGTGTTTGCCGGATGCACTCACATCACCCGCCCCAGTTTTTTGAATTTTGGGTTGGGAATGTTTGGAGGGAGAAGGCCTGACAGAACCACTCTGTTTGGACGAAAAGAAAGGCGTTAGAAAAGCAGGCGGACAAAATTTAACCTTTGTTGAAAAATATTCCAAGTATCATAAACAGCTACCTTGGGAGTTCCGCCTGCTTTCTACTCGTCATTCGCCCTGTTAAGGACGTTGGTGCGGTACTTTGCTGCAGAGACGACATACGACTTTTTTGTTGCCGAGAGCTTTTCCATTGCTTTGTCTGCACCAAAAAGAGGGAGTTAAGCTTATTAACCATACACTGAAAACAATTTTAAGTTTACTTAAAGACAGACAGCCGACTACCTCTCGGAATCTCAGAACTTAGACCACAAGCGGCCAAGAACACCCCATCTTCTAGCCATTTGTAAAGGGGAATGTAGCTCTGGGGGACGACTATTTTCTCCCCATGCTCGTTTGTCCGAACGGACACTGCAAACACACCCCGGTAAAAAATTTCCTCCTGGGCCCGCCTAGGGAGAGGGGGCAAGGCACTCTTGCCAGCCAGAAGGGGAGGATCCTTGTTCCACCGATTATATTTTTGGTTCAGTAGGCTTTCAGGGGAATGGACAATGTAGAACTTAGTTCTCCAGTCCTTCCATTTGTTTTCTTTGCCGACTGCCATCATGTACCCCTTACAGGTGGTCAAGGTGTACCAGCCTTCGCCGCCCTTAGCAGGCGCTCGGCAGAGATAGTGCATGTGGGCGAATGCCTCAAAGCTGGGATCCACCTCAAGCATTTCACATGCGGTAACGTACCCGATGATATTTATCCATGAATTCGGGACAAGTTGCCAGATACCCAGTTGGTATCCATCCAGTATCCTCTCCACGGCCGGATGGAGAGGGAAGCGTAAGCCAGCCTGAAGGACCGCCTCGTAGCAGCCGAAGGCTTTGTCCTTATAACTGGCCAAGGAGGGCCAGGTTATTGTATCCTCCTTGTTGGGGACGGATAAGGAGAAGCCATGTCCCATTACGACCTTGCGCCTGTAATTGGCAAGGCCGGATGTCATGGAGGCCCGCTTGCTCTGCGGGGCATGTTGAAAATAGGGGGTGCGCTCCAAGCGCCTGGAAGCACTCGGCTCCGCCCAACCTTCCCCCTTTCCTACTAAAAAGGACTCCCTTGTAGTATCTATTTTTGCTTGGACCACCTCTGACTCAATAGAGGCGCTATTAGAGGATGACGAGGCCGAATCGTCATCAGAACCTTCCCCAGAGCTAAGGGACTGCCGACTAGGGCCAGCAGGGTCCTCCCCTAGACTCTCCTCATGCGCCTGTTCTGAAGGCTAGGCCTGGTACTGACTGTCGGCTTCCCGCAGCATAGAATCACTAGGGGTGCCGCTTGAGGAAGAGGGAGAGTAATAAGTTGGAGTTGGAGGAAGGTCAGAAGAGGGGTTTGGGGGGTGCTTAGAAACTTCGCTAACTGGAACCCTAATGGAGTCGCCTGAAGTTGGAGTCTCACTGTCCGAATGGTAAAAGGAACCATCCGGCCTATATCTCCTTGCTGTTTGCTTTATTTGAGCCATTGTGTCCTACAGATGCACAGACACTGTCGGATTTGGAGATGCACTTAAAGGAAAGTTCTCGAACGAGAATTCGGCACTCCTAGTTCTAGATTCAGCCGTCCCCGGTGACCGGCTGATCGCTAACCTAGGTCGTACCGTGTACGTTTGGGAAACCATTTGAATAAACGAAAAACAAAAGAAAAAATAAAAGAAAAGAGCATGCGGTTACCTTAGAAGAAAGTACTTGAGACGCTTGGTTGGCTGAAGCAGTCGGTAGGAAAGGCCGAGTGTTGGATGCTTGACAAAAGTCAGGGTTTTTAAAGTCTTTAAGAGTCAAAAGTCCAGAGATTCTCCAAGATTCGCAAAGGTGTGAAAGCAAAAATGAAGTCAAACCTTCCTATTTATAGAAAAGGGAAACCCTAATTTTTCCCCCCAAAATACGATTTGAAAATCCAGCCAGTCAGATGAAGACACCTGTCACAGGTGCCACGTGCAATACACGTGACCCCTGTGAGGGGCAAATGATTTGGGTATTTTATACCCTGCCAAGTGGCCCAATCAGAGTATGACACCTGTCACTGGAAGGGGCACCTACTTGGACCTTCCAGATGGTGACACGTGTCACGCTAATATTGCCCCCTGGGAATGGCGGCTTTCAAGGCCCAAATCCCAAGGGGCCCTTAAAAAACGGCGTGCCCTAATCCCTAGGTCACCAGATCCTAGGGAGGGCACACTTTCCAAAAGGACCCTATAAATAGGGACATTCTTACATTTATGACAAGACAAAAATACATACACAGAAAAAGAGAGAGAATATTCACGCACTACGAGACAGTACGTCACGTACTACAGAGTTGTCATTTTCAAAGAACATACAACACTTTACCTGAGCTTAGAATCCAAGCAGATAACTTTACTTCCGCACGTTTTATTACCGAACGTTTACCAACTTAATCTTCGGAGGCGGACCACCGACCATTCGGCGGTCCGTTTGATTTAGAAGTACAGTCGTCCATTGTTGAATCCAGTTTCAGTGTTGTAACTCTCCCGAGGGACAAAAACCCCCGAAATAATACACACATTAGTAACTTCAAGGAAAATAATAAACAAACAATTAAATTAAATAATTGAAAGAGAGATTTGGGACCAAATCCTCAGAAATTAAACCTTTCACGTCTAGGGCGAAGGCAAATTCGAATAATGCTAGGTGTGTCTAAGTCTTGCAAATGCGGAATTTTGTATTTGAGAGAAAGCTAGTTTAGAAAAGAGAAAGAGAGAGAGAGTAATCAAGAGAATCTTGATGAGAGTTGGTGAATCAATAGAGGGAATTGGTGAATGAAAACGAAGTTTTTAGAAAGCTATTTATAGAGAAAATCAACCAAAAAGATAAAAAATCAAAACAGAGCTCTGACGCGTAAAACCATATTAGCGCCAGATGCTGACATTAGCGCCAGGCGCTAACGCTAGCGCCAGGCGCTAACGCTAGTGCCAGGCGCCAAGCTTAGCATTAGGCGCTAATGATGGCGTTTGGCGCTGACTAAGAAATTGACGCGTTATCTAAAAATCAGATAGAAATTGTCGTACAGGAGGTTAAAATCGTATTTTTCTCATAAACATTCTTTTATTCTGATTAGAACTCTAGAAAGTCAACAAAAGCCAATTTATCAATGCTAATTGGATTAGGAATGAAAAGAACCTTCTAGAAGAATCTAGAAGACTAAAACATTCCTAATTGCATTAGGAATAATAAATCCATATTAGGCCCTCCTCTAGATCATTGGGCCGCATATAAGGCCCAAAACGGGCCCAGTTCAGTAAATTGGGCTTATAATATATCGTTGGAAAGCTCTTTTCAATCCCTATCCAACTACACCACTATTGGACCCATATCATGGACCAACCAAACTAGATTGGCTGTTTTCTTAAAATAAGTTTCAAAAACAGAGAGAAAAGAAAAGATATTAAAACTATCCGCTACACTAAACTTCCCACACTTTCACTTCATTCGATTATGATTCGACGTGAAAGGTACTCATCACCGAGTTTGGTTTTGGGGAGACACCAATGGGTGTCTACAGAAGCCCCCACATTGACTGAGTTTGGAGAAATGCAAGTTTCGAAAACAAAAGTCAAAGTATCGATAGGGACGGAGAATGATTCAGAACGTTCTGCGATCCTAAATCATTCTTATAACGCCGATACTTGCAAACTAGCGTTAGTTAAACAGACAAAAGATTAAAGAAACGCATATCTTGCACCGTCGAGCATACGTCTCTGAAAGTAACCAATATGTTGCTGCTTTTTGTTGTTTTAATGACCTCTTGCAAGCTAGAGAATGCCATCCCACTTGAAGACTGCTACGCTTGTAACTGCCTCCATTTCCTCCATGATAATCTTCCGCAAGCCAGGGAACATTATCGTATATGGCTTCGCTTGAAACGATCCTCTTCCGCTTTGTGACCGTCTTCCACATCTTAAGGAACACGATCGAAGACAACTTCGCTTGAAATCACTTTCAGTTGTTTATGACAACTCTCCGCAAGCTAGGGAATGCTGCTGAAGATATCCTCGCTTGAAGCTATCCTCATTTGTTGCGACAATTTCTCAAAGAAAATTATCGAAGACCTCCGCTTGTCGATCTTTAAAAGGTCGCTTGAACTTTTCTTACGCTATGCCTGTACGTCGGCGCTTTTGCTGCTTGTGAACCCGTATGTCGGTGCCTTTTGCTGAATTATGAACCAGTATGTCGGTGCTTTTCTAACTGAACCAGTATGTGGGTGCCTTTTGCGATGAGCCAATGATTAGG